GGTTCATGGGGTCACGAAGAGTCGGACACGACTTAACGACTAAACAACAACAACAAGGGGCACAGGTAGACTGCAACATACTCGCAGTCTTTCAAAAGATGGGAAGAGATGAGGGACTGGCCTATTTATGTATTTATGTATTTATTTAAATTTTTAATTACAAAAAGAGGAAAAAAGCATATAAAAAGTGCTTTAACAAAAAAGTGAAATACAACAAAGAGAAAAAAGTGTTAATGTCATTATAACAATAGACAATTACAATTCTATATATGCTTATCTAATGCAAATATTATTCAAGTACATATATATTTCTAATAGGTTTATGTGACGAAAAAAGTGTTAATGTCATTATAACAATAGACAGTGGCCATGGTCTTGAAGTCTGTCTAATGCAAATATTATTCAAGTACATATATATTTCTAATAGGTTTATGTGACTATGAAGTTTTCTTTTTAACCTACTGTATTTTGTATAAATGAGTCCCATATTTCACTGTACTTGTCCATATAAAGTCTACGTCTAGACAGTCCACTCATAACTGGCAAGTGCAATCAGGTCTTCAATCCATTGAATAAATGGGGCCATATATTTATCTTTCCAATGCTGCAATATCAGTCTTTTAGCCATAGTATATAATTCAAGAGAATATTATCCTCTGAAAGTATAAACTTATAAGGTCCACTACTTTCTCCCAAAACTTAGTAAGTATAGAACATTGTAAAGACATATGTTTTAAAGAGGCATTGTCCTTTTTACATCTCCAACAAAATGTTGTTTTTGACAATCTTTTTTCTATACAGACATAGTGGAGTCCAATAAATACTAAATTATTATTTTTTGTTGTATAAGTCCCAGTTTAAGGTCTATTGACACTCTTGCTATAGAAGTTAAGACACTCTCCCATTGTCTACACAATACAGAGACCTCTAATTCTTTATTCCACTCATCCCTTAACATCTGCATATCAAATTGATTTATTGATAACAAATACCTATACATACTAATAGTAGGTTTTGTAGTTTTAAAGGGTTGAACAAGTTGTTCTAATATCTCAGGCATCTCAGAAGCTGAAAATGCTGCTGGTCCAAACAATGCTGATAAATGTTGTAGCTGTAAATATTGCCATTGGGTTGCATCTGATAGATGATATTTATTCTTAACACAGAGTATGTTAAAAATTCATCTTCATCATCTATCAGTTGGTCCAAAGTCAATATCCCCATTTCCATTCAAAGGTGAGGGACTGGCCTTGACCACCCCCCCGCCACAAAAAAAAAAATAAAAACCGCATCCATGGACTGGCTGGGTTCACATATTGCACTAAGCAATAATGTAGCCTGTTTGGGTTTGGATTAGGGTGATGTGTAAACTGAACCATTGTGGTTTGTAAACCATTATTCATAGCTTAGTGCAATGCATGAATCCAGCCACTCTGTTTTTAGCATCTGTTGCCTGAGGCAATAGCCTAATTCTGTCCAATGCAGTCTCTATAAGGGTTATCATAACCAAAAAAGCTCATTACCTATCAGTGAAGGATGAGGTAATACTTCAGTGCTTTCTCTAAGTTATTCTATGCCTTCTATTCCTTTGGATGCTGTGTATTCCAGGGAGTCAGACAATAAACAGGAAAGGAGTGGGTGAGAGAACCAGTGACTGTCCTGGTTCCTGCTGCATTTTTTTAAGGCCTAAGAGTATAACTATGTATGCTGAGTCTATCACTGCAGTGTTTCAGGCCACGAAACTGCCTGGCTCACTTGCTTGTACATAGTTTCGAGAAGATCTCAAATATCATTTGTATCCCTTTGCACAGGAAGGGAGGATTACAGAGGAGGTACCGACTGTGCCAAATGGGGATATTTCTGGAGAAGAGCACAAAATTGCAGAGGCAATACATTTCTTTTCTATATAGCAAGAATCATTTAAATCTCTGTGTGTGTATGCATGCACACGTCTGTGTTGAATTTAGTTTCAAGAGAAAAAACAGAGTTCTTAAATAATAGGTTTTAGCTGCCTGTTATCTACAAAAGGCCACTGTGGCCGCAAAGATGCAAGAGAATCTGGATTGCCAGTGAAACTCTCCTATTGTGCATGCCAAGGTATAGGATGCTTATGTGTATTGCAGAAGTGGGGTGGTGTTCTAAACTTCTCAGATCAAGCACAGAGCTTTGAATAAGAAGTTCTACTGATGAGCAGTTCTAGGCAGGTCAGATACCTCCAATTGGATGTTCAGATTGTGTGGAGATCCAACTCACAAGTAGAATTTCCTACTCAGGCTTTCATGCTCAGCGTGGTTGGTTAGGAAACACAGCTAGTTCATGAGTGCAATATCAAGGGTGGGTCAAGAGCATGCTCCCAGATCTTCCAGTATATGTGTGTGGCCTATGCATGAGTAAGACATGCATAAGGCTTCTGTTTGAGCATGACAGCTCTTCAGGGTGAGTCAGAATGCTGCTTGAAATATAATGTGCTCCCATTCTGTGGAGAGAAAAATATGTCCTTGCAGGCCTAACCATTTTAAACTTGAAATAGCATGCCTGATTGAATAAAAAAATAGCCATATTAATCTATGAATGTGTGTCTAACCAATATAACACAAAAGAGTATGCAAGCTCAGAAGGTTAGGGCAGGTATCACTCAACTATGCCTTTAAAAATTCAATTAACCAAATCAGATTATTTAAAATCATGATAATCCTCATCACTGAGTCAGTTCCATAAGACTTGTTAGATATGTTTAAGAATTGAGCAATTCCTTGCTTATTTAATCTCTTTCTCTAACTCTCTAACGTTACTCATGTTGCCAGGAGACTGAAAAATCTTCAGTTACTGAAGAAAATGAGATACAAGCAGAAGATGAGGCTGAGGCCAAGGCTGAGGCTACTGAAGAACAGGTTATTTTCTTTCTCTTGCCAGTTTTATTCAAAATTTTTCTCATTCAATTTTACTTCTCTACGTTTTGTGCAAGAATGGAGTCTTTGAATGAAGAAATGTGACCTACAACAAAGTGGTTGCTGCAGAATTCAGCCTGTCCCCTTCCCACTACTCCCTCCTCCCCCACTCGATTTCGCCGCCCCCCCCCCCCCCGATGCTACTCAGCATTCCATACTCATGGACCACAGACTGATTTTGGTGGTTCAGCTCCCCTTTTTCCTAAATAGATACTCTCCAAACGTTGGGTTTCCCCTAAAACTGCTGATACCTGGTGGTTCTGCAGGGGTGGTGTTACTTTGACTGCATAAGCTATTATACAAAGACCCCACGCATTGGAACTTTTCTATACATTTAGAAAAGGATATCAGTTCATGGCTAGAGGTAATGTCATATCTTCTTTCTAAACACCTCAGAAAATGAAAAAAAAAAAACATAATTTTGCCCAATTTTCATTGCTACCAAACCACAGTTAGGTACCCTTGTTTGGATTCACCTGAATGCATGAGAATTTGAGACAGCCCTCAGGTTGTATGTGCACCAAACTCACCTTTTTGTGGCCCTTGGAATCCTCTTTGAACATATTTGCTAAAAACTGACAGCATAATGTCCTGCAGTTTTGAAGTGTAAGCCCTAAAATAGGTGTACCATTGTTAAAAAGAAGCTTACTTCATCCACAGTTGTGATGGGGTCCCATTCACCTAGTGTCCCTCAGCCCTCCCCCCCAAAATCAAGGGTAGTCCTGAACTTTGCTGTTCGTGACCTCCACACATGCAGCTGGGAGATACGATATGAAACTGTACCTGCTTTGCCTTGCACATACAGCTCTCCACACTACTAGGAATCCAAATAAGGATTAGCATGAATTGTGCAGAGCCTTGCATTGATGGTCAAGCAAATACTTGTATATCTCTTATTCAGACCTCGCAGCTGAATATATGAAGGTTGGGAAGAATAAGGAATGAAAGCAGCACATGCAGTCCCATTCCCTACATCATTTCAAGCCTCATACGTCCAGGCAAATAACTGATGAGGGCTGATGAGTAACTCTTCTTTCTGGAAGAACAAAAATAAGCCCTTTTATCTGCAATTCCAAGTTGGAATTGGTTGCAGTGCAAGGAGGATGTCGAAACCAAAACAATAGTGTTCTCAGCACTGCTGCAGGAATAACATTTTTAAAATGAATTACACACCGTCTGTCCCTTCTTTCCTTATGTTTAAATTCATTTCCAGCTTTAACCAGAATTAAACATTACATGACATTTAGCAGGACTGTCGTCAAGAATTGGCTTGGCAGAGTTGCACTGCAAATACCAACACTGTTGCTGTTCTTCTTGCCTCTTTCACATGCTAGTCCCTACCAGCACACCTCTCTAAACCCTTATGGAAAGCTGGGCAAGTAAATAAACAACAGAAGACCTGCTGCCCTTGATCCTCTTCCCCAGGAGTAGTAGTGGAATCCAGCATAGAAGAAGCAGAACAAAGCAAGAAGAAATAGAAGGGCCAGAATTGGCAATATTTGACACCCGGTTAACCAAAGCTGTGCCAATATAACCCAACTTCTGTAACCTCTACATGCAGGTGGAATAAATGTTTGAACTTCTTTCATATATTAATATCTTCCAACAAGCAGTGGAGAAGGATAAGGACCTGTCCTCATACCTTCTGATATCCTCTCCACTAGATGGTTGATTTTCAAACCTGTCTTTCCAACAAACTTTTGTTGTTGTTGTTTTTTTAAATCTAATGTTCACAGAATGCTGAATTCTGTAGCCAGCAACCCATCCCATGCTATGCAATTGGAGAGTCAATAAATACAGGTGATGCTAATGGTTTTCACTGTGGTAATGAGAATAACACTGATTTATCTTAATGATAGTATTGTTGTCATTTTTTGGCTTTCTTTTAAAATCTCTTTTAAGAATAGTCTTTAATGTTCTGTTGCAGAAAGAAGATAAAGAACAGCCAGCAACAGAAGTATAGTAACAAGTTTGAATGTCTTATTTCACACACATTTTTCCACTGTGTTCATTGCTTATAAATATATTTAAAATATGTCTGGACAACTATTTTTTCTTCCAAGTTAGCTTTGGGGATATAACTGTTAGGGCTGAAATCTAATAAGCAACATTTGCATTCAAATCTCGTCATCCTTGACCACAAAGAATTCATTCTCCTACTACTGTCCTAGTCCAATTACTTGCTTTTAAGCTATGAGCTACACATTAATAAGCATGTTGAACTTAGGCATGTACACAAACCTAGGGTCCTATCCTGGTCAGAGGTAAGGAATCCACAGACTTGTGAATATCTGTGGGTGATTAGGCAACCAATGTTAAGTTTACAGTTACAGTTCAATTATAGTTCTATGCAGATGACTTGCGCCAATGTGTTCTGGAGCTCAGCTTGTGTGCCTCTTGGTCCAGATGACTCTATTCAGGCTCCTTTTAGTTTCTGAAGAATGGCCATCCTCTCATAGCTCCTGGTAGTGTTTCATTCAGCTTCCCCCTTGTGCTTTGCCAATGCTAGGAAGCAAGCCCTGAGATGCATGAGCCCCTTGCTTTATAAATGCCTCTTGAAGAGTGTTGTGTCTGACGATCTCACTGTGGCTCGAGGGTGGAAAAGCTGCAGGGACAGGCTTCCTATTACAGCTCCTTCGAGTCTGGCTGCACAAGTGGCATGTAAAGTTGAGACTTCTGTGGTCCATTGTGATCTGTGGCTGCCTAAGAGAGACTCCCTAAGAGAATATTCATATATCTTTCCTGATATTGCAAATGAAAATAGGGATAGGAGCATTTCTATGCATGAATATTTGGCTTAAGGGCTTAAGGTTTCCAGCATTGCAGTTGACTTTGGGGTCTACCATGTGCTAGCCCAACTCATGGAAAAGACTAATGGAAAGCAATCTGTCTGAAGTAACAATCGAAGGAGTTAGACGCAAAGGCAGAGAGAGATTATGAACATGTACTGCTTGGAAACTATATAAGCAGTAACCCCTTAATCCGAAAACACATTATCTGAAATATAATGAGATGCTCCTCCACCATACCAAAAAAGTAAACACAACCATATTCCAGTGAGATTTCTTGTGATATAATGATTGCTTCGTTAAACAGTAAGACATGCAAGTCAAAGGGCTTATTATAAATAATTGTTTGTACTTAAGTGTACATATGTGTATGTATAGACTACTGTTGAATAATAACTTGGTTGACTTTTTGTACTAATAAGAAATCTTTGTGTTCTCATTTAATCGGTAGAAGTGATGACTTATCTCTGTATGTGCTTATGTAAAGAAACTTAACATTCATAAAAATACACAAAGCATTTTTCTTAAAGATTAAGTTATCAAAATGTAATTTGCTAGCCATGTATTATAATTGCAGATAGTATATGTTGTCTTCAGATGAAGAGATTCCTTCTTAGACACAACTTATGTCAGAATTAGAAGCCAATTTATATGAGGGATGTCAAGAAGAGTGGAGATGATTACTTTTAAAATCAGTATGAATTTTGCATTGCAGCATAGGCCTCCTTTTTTTCCTTCCGTGGGGAAATATGCACATCTGATTTAATAGCTGCTTCTTTTAGTTCTATTTTTAGAACTAATAGCTGCTTCTTTTAGTTCTATTGTTTGACTGTTCTTCCATTATTTTGTGTAAAAAAAGGAAGTAAAAGAAGCACAGGAGGAAGAGGAGGAGAAGGGAGAAGAGGAAGAAGAAGAGGAGGAATCTTAGTACATTTGTTTGCTATTTTTTTCTTCAAAAGATGTTTCAGGTAAATATGCTGATAACTGATTCCTGTTACTGTGATTCCCTAATTACTCTAGTTTTTTTTATTTAAAACAAACAAAAATACATGTACAATCTGAATAATTGCCATCATTGTTATTCTAATATAACCACTTAAAGAAATTTTTTTTCCAAATTAAAAATGGGAGATACTGTATTTCTTGGCATTTGATTTTTAATAATTAAGCCATACATAATGCTTAGTTCACAAATGGTGCTATACTTGATTTTGGCTTAATGTGATTTTGGCTTAATACAGGAACCCAGTTACTGTGATTTTTAAATCATGGATTACAATTTAGCTATATATGAAAACATCATTATGGTTTGTTTAAATATTATTGAAAGTACTATTGAGAAAAATACTATTGAAAAGGAAAACTGGGAGTTTGTGGAAAAAGCGAGAGAGTTCAATTTAGCACAAGAGGACAGCCTTTTCACAACTATTTCTTTACATCTTTGTGGATTGCTAACAAGCTTAGGTAGAGCACAAAAAGAAACCAAGGATAAACCAGGATAACAAATCATAGTTTAAAAGGTCAGAATTCACATTGTCAAAGTATGGCTTCCAGTTGGAGCTTATCGCTAACAAAAACATGGCTTGTTGCTTAAACTGGAATCATACATTGAAAAGAGCAAAGGAGCAACAATTAGGCACAACACATTCTAAATAATATCTGTGAATCGTGTTGTTCTGTGTAATCTTTTGAATGTATTTTCACTGCAGGAACTGGGAACTGATGGCATCACTGCAGAGTGAAGAGGAAAACAATCACTTTCCCTCCACGAACACACTGCTGCCTTTCTATGCAACTCCAGATATCAGCACAGATAGGATTTGAGACAATAAGCAGCTCCACATGTGAACTTTCTATATAAATGTTGTGTTGTGTGTGTACAATTATTTGTGCTATTCTGCCTTTGAGTCCAGTGGGGCTTCAGATCTTGATGATCAACAAGCATTATGAGACTGATTTTAGGAGAGGGGCAGGGATTGGTTTAGACTCCATATTGGTGTCCTGACAGGTCCACACTAGCAATGTTCGGAAGTGATGGCCAGGCCATTCTGAACTGGAAACCTCCAAGGAAGCTCTCAATGTATGTGCCAAAACCTGCTTATCCCTAAAGTAGTCTTATAATGTACAGCAATTGAAATAAACACATTTCATGCCAACTGCCTGCTTGTGCCATACAAGCATTAATTTGTCAACCTAAGTGATAAAATTAGAAAGCTAAAAATTATGTATTATTTCTTTCATTACAAAAAGTTCTTTGTGGTAATCTCCCCTTCCCCCCTCTATTTTTGTGCCAGTTTTACACTAATTTACATTTTCTTGTCATAATTCCATTTTTAATAGAGACAGGCCTTTTCAAAAGATACTAGTCACTGTATCAATGTAAATGAATAAGTTGAAATATTAGGTTTCCCTTCTGCTAATGAAACATTATATAAGGCCAAAAATATCTGAAGAAAATTGATGGAGGGCAAAATCTTCTAACCTATTCTCTTGCAATCCTTGTTGTGCTTTGTGGGAAGCTGTGGAGGTTAATGGAGAACTCTTACCCACTGGCAAATAAACTAATAAAATCACCATAAAGAAATTAACTGCAACTATGCCCCCCCCCCCAAAAGCATGATGTGATTACAATAAGGGTGTGCATAGGAAAAGCAATCAAATATCTCATTTGATTTTTGCAATTTAATGACTTTAGTCACAGCAGATGGGGCACAGGGAGGATCAAAATAGAAAGTATGCTGGACAGCCATAGGCTCTTGTCACTTTTAGTAATACGCTATTAATCAGCATAGTGTCATAGCTAAAGAGACCTTTAAGTTGAGCTTATCTCCTGCTGACTGCACCTATATCGTTTTCTTGATGGTGCTATGGATATAATTTACCACTGCTTTCTTCCAGGAAGGTTTTTCAACTTTCCAGTCTGGCCTATCCTCTGAAATCGCCTTATGTAGCTGCTCAGGTGCTAGCTAGGACCAACCCCCTTGCCTTCTAAGATCAGCCCAGGTCACCATGGCATTGCCACTTGCTCCAGCAGGGTGGTGGTTAAAGTGTTGGAATTAGACCAGGGAGACTCAGGTTTGAGTTCCTGTTAAGCCTATCTCTCAGGCTAGGATTTTCTCACAAGGTTATTGCAAGGATCAAATTAGGCGAGCCTAGTTAAATCTTTAAGACTCATCACAACTCTTTACAAAGTACTTGGGGTGCTCCTTTGGATGAAGGTTAATTGGGAATGAGAGAGAAAAGGGTCAGAAATATTATTTCCCATATAGTGGTTCTATCTGAACTGAGCTTTTGTAATTTGGAAGTGATATGGGAGAGAGGAAGTTGAAAATGAAGCAGTGAAAAAGGAAGATGTAACCCTCCTTAACCTGTGTGCTGCACTACTTATCTTGATCTTGCCTGCTGACTTGAGAATAAGTGAAAAGAAGCACAGCAGCAACATACTGTAATTAATTCTACATGTAGTTTCTCTTTTAGCCATTGGGAGTCATTGTAGTCCTCAGGACGCACCCACAATGTATAACTTCCCAAGCAGAAGAATCCTATTTGGGTGAAAATAATCAGAACTGCTGCTGTTTATAGCAGGAGATGGATCAGCACAACTGTTCTAACATCTGTACACTCCCTATAATTAGCTACATAAATTGCTGAAAATGTGAAGGAACATTGAAATTGCTGTAGGATTGCTTATATAAATTAAGGTGCAGGAACTGTGGCTGCCCCGATGTTGCTGAACTATAGCTGTCACTAGCCATGCTGGCTGGGGCTTCTGGGAATTGTAGTTCTTCAACATCTGGAGGCCTATAGGTTTCCACCTCTGCTAGAGACACAGTGTTAGGATTTTACCTATTAAACTTGAAATCCACCACCCACCCACCCACCAGCTTCTAGACTAGTCTCCTTTTGGAGGGATGTGTACTAGCCTTTTTTTGAGTGAAGGTTTAATCAGCAACCCCATTACCTGTAATGACTACACCTTGTGTTATTTATTTATCCCCTCCCCCAGTGCCTTTGTATCATGTAAAAGCTGCTAGAAATCTCAGTGTACTTAAAAAAAACAACTTTTCTATCCATCTGTCTGTGTTTCTATTTATTTCAAATGACAAAGAAAAAATATTAAGATATTATGGAAGAAAAATATTAAGGGAATTCTTTCTAATGGGAAGCAGTACATTTATTCACGCTTCGAGGAAGTTTAAGAATATAACCATTTGAAAACTATAATAAGCTCAAATATTCTGTTGTTACTTCAGTGACTATGCCTTTTATAAGCTATGTGGGTTTTTAAAAATAAAAGAATGCCCATGTTGCTGGAGTACACAAAAGAGGAAAGCAAATACATATGTGAACCTTCTTCCTCACCCTCATGCCTTCAGAATGTTGGGAATGAACTTCCTAAAATTCCCAACTACAGAATTCTGGAATTCTATTCCCAAGATGTGAGGAGAGCGCCAAGCTGGGGGAAGACTCTTTTAGAAATAGAATTGTCTCAATAGTATAATAGTAACAGTGCGCTTTCTTCTTTTTTTGAAATCTATGTCCAGGCTCCTTTATCCCCATATTCATCAATGTTTTGTAACTTCAGTGAAATAAGTTTATCATGACATAATAAATGAAGGAAGAGCAAAATAACCTTGCTGTGAGGTTACTGTTAGCATGCTTGCTATTTGAATGATTAAAGCCATGTGGCTAGATGCGTGAACAGGAACTGGAGAAAGGTAAATGCATAGCTTTCAAAGATATTAAGTATAGACAAGATCTAAAGAACTACTTTGGTCATGTTGTGTGGCATTTTTGAGAATCCTGCTTCAACAGGAGCATTCACCAATGTAGTTCCAAAAATTGCATGCTGAAGCCACTGTAGTTCCAAAAGTAGTATCCTTGTTATTGTTTCACCCCCTCTTTTAAAAATGATTCCATAAGGGCTTACATTTTGGTATGGTACCGTGTCTAGAGTACACAGTCTTCAAAATACAACTTTATTCATTTAAAGGCAATGGTGAGCACAGAGGAGTAGGAGCTAAGCCATCTTCACAAGACACAATTCAGTAAGGAGCTGTGACATTTATGCAGTCTCACTAGACAAAGAAATCTGAACCCTACTTAAGGTGCATTATTTTCCCAAATATTCAGTATTCCAATTTGTACCTTGAATAACTTAAGAAAGCTAAGGGGTGTTCAGTTAAGTGTTCAGTTGTACACAAAATTAGAAGCAAGCACAAACCTTGTAGACCAATCATGAAGAAAATCCTGAAGAGTCTTATTCTGATGCAAGTGAAGATATGACAGTCTAGGAAGAAATCAGATGTTATTTGTTTTAGAAAAGAATCAAAGAATGAAATAAAAAGCTAGAATAAATCAATCAAATCAAAGGGTGGTGGGAACAGAAATAGAAATTTCAATTCTCATGGGAATACAGGTAGTCCTTGAGTTATGAGTGTGATTGGGACCAGGATTGCCATCGCTAAGTGATGTAGTCATAAAGCATGATGTCACATGACTGCATCACTTAGCAATAGCAATCCAGGCAGTACCGGTTGTTGTCATAATCTAAGACACGAAGGTCATTAAGTAAGGAGTGTGGGGGTGCTACAGGGGTGTGGGGGAGGCCCCAGGAGGCCTGCCACAGGCCACAAGTGAGTAAGGGGGTACTTGGTGTGGCATGAGCTCAGAAAGGCTAGGTGATGACAGCATGGTGTGCATGCAATTGCAGGGAGGCTGTGGAAACGGCGCGGGGTGTGTGTGTGTGAAGGGGGAAGGAGAGAGTGGTGCATGCAGGTGAAGAAAGGCTGTGTGGAGAGACTTACCCAAGTGACTTGTGACCTTCTTTGCTGGCTTCCCATTGACTTTCCTTGGGGGAAGCCAGCAGGAAAAGGCACAGAAGGTGATCATGTGACTAGGACACTGCAACTGGTCGCAAGTGCGAGCTGTTGCCAGGGAGAATTTTGTTCATGTGACCATGGGGGCACTGCAACAGCCAGAACTTTGAGGACCAGTCATAAGTCCCTTCATTCAGCACCATCATAACTTCAAACAGTTGCTGAATGAACTGTCATAACTCAAGGACTACCTGTATTTTATTTAGTCCAGCAAGTTACTGAGACCTTACATCTGACCTTAAGCAGAACCATTTTCTTCCTCTCCAAGTAGCTGCAAAACTGGAATTGGTTGTCTTTAAGAATGCCCCTGAAGAAAACCTGTTTGAAATTTGTGAGGACAATACTCTTTCTACATCCCTGGATGATTATTTACCAAAGATCCAAGGAAGCTCAGATTCAGTTGCTTAAGACTTTTGATCCTTGCTGTTTGATCTAAATCAATCTGCATTGATTTTAACTTTTTAGATCATTTTGACCAAACCTTTAAACACTTTTTTTCCTTCTTGAGATGTTGGTACATGGCATTTAAACACAGCTGCACCAATACTGGCAGTTTTATTTTCCAATTGCTTTCCTATTACTGTATTTGTCACATGAAGTTCACTATTTGCAGTTGTTACATACTGACTTAACATATTCACTGTGTTACCTATCATAATCCCAAAATATTTTTCCCAGTAAAATGTTCCAGTTCAAACATGGTTCTTTACACCAAAAATCCAGTTTGTATTATTTTATACTTATTTATGGTGAACCTCATTTGCTATTTAATGCCAATTTTGCCAGTTTGCAGAGACTTGGTTAGAGTTTTTTGTTGTCCTCATTTAATTACAATAAATCCTACTTTGTTACTCATCCTAACTCAGGAAAACAGTTAAAAACCTATCTCGCTATACATCCTTGGTGGAATCCTACTTTTTACATATCTCCATTGCAAAATCTGGAATTATATAGAAATAATTGATTGCTTTAATCGATTAGTAATTCATAGTAATAACTCTCCCATAACTATTGTATTCAATCAAAAATCTTTGGTTGACAATCTCAAAGAATTTCCACAGTTCTAAAGTCCAATGTGATTATATTAAAGCTTTTTGGAACTTTTTACTTGTGTTCATGTTGAACTGAGTAGAAGAATTGTCATTGTTTCCAATCAGTTCAGCAACAATTTCACCTTCCAACAAATTATGGGTTCTATGTAGATATAGGTCCAAGAAACTTCTCCTGAGGTTGGCCCCCTGATCAATCATTCTAAGGCATAATCAGGATATCAAAAAATGTTGTATCTTTGTTACGAACAAAACATGCATTATTTAATCTAAGTAAGAGTCACTGAAATTACTTATTATTCTATTGCTCTTGTCCATGACACACAGATTTCTTTCTGTACCTCAAAACACTTTCAGAACAATTTGGTGGTGGATATGTTGCTCATGAACTCCTCAGAGGACTTTTCCCCACTCCTGAATTGAACTGCTATCTACTCATCCTTGAATCAGCAGGAAACTTTACCAACTTAAAATCTGCAGTCCACTTTCCTGACTCCTGTCCTGCCACTGTTGCCTCTGTTTTGGTTACCTACCTACCTCCAAAGTAATGAAACACTGGAAAGCCCCACTTGACCAATTTCATTTTGCAGGGATCATTCCTCAGATGTGGGTAGCTAGATGTTATTTTATGGGGTTCAAGCCCTCTACTGGGAATTGAACTCATGGACCTTTGCACTTTAGATGAACTAACTCTTTCCTAACTTTTGGCTGACAGCTGTAAACAATAGGACTCTGCTCATCTCAACTACTCAGTTTAGAAGGGAAAGTAGCAAAAGAGATCCTTCTTCAACATCTCTATGATACTGAGTACCAGAATGCATTCCAAAATCCTGGAAAAAGGCTTTGCCAAATCACTTTGATATTGTTGCCAAGAAAACTACATGAACATACCTATGAAGTGACCAAGAGTTGAGCTTGATAAAGGAGATTTTATCTTATTTTCTATGCAAGATATTTTAGGACACCTCTGGTGGTTATACTGTTATCAATTTTATTTATTCAGAATTTGAAGTGAAATTTGAAACCAGGGTTCCTTTATTCCTGTTTAACAATCTAAGTTAAGAGTGGGAACTTGAGATCCCAAGGCCACCTTTGACTTTTAGATCCATCCAGCCATCACTCTAACAGGGCTTGAAAAACTTCTGCTGGAAGAGCTGCTCGTTCTTAACAGTGTTTTCTGGATGGAACAGTGATCTGACTCATCTAAGGCATATGCCTGTGTTCCTCCTACATTACCAGTGGGGAAGACAGTGGTTTGAGGCAGCTTCTCATATTCACTGTTTATCATCAGGTTCCTTAATATTTTTTTTTTTGTGAAGCCTTCACATTTTCATATTTTTTTATTTATTTAAATATTGCATGTTGATATCTAGCCTCATTGTAATTCTCAAGAAAAGGTCAAGAACCCTCTCTATAATTTTTCTCTGAATGCACACAGAATATATACAGCAGGGAGAAGACATATGAATATTAACCTTGACCCACACAGAAAGTGTGAAATGAGTTGCTATGCTATATACAACTCTGCATTTATAGAGAGACTGGGACTTCTACAGAGTAAATCCTTGCTACTAATGTTACCTGCATGGTGTAACAGAATGACCAAAAACCTATATCTACATGCTGCTCTATTAAAAATTGTGGAAAATGAACAATTTCCAAGCGGAAAGAAGACAAACAAGAAAGTATTGACAAAGATGTGCCTATCCAAAAACTGAAGGTTAAGATGATATTTTGGACACAACAGATCTAGAAAGTTGTGCTTAATAGAGAAGAACAAAAGCCTAATAATTCTCTTAAAAACACCTCTGATAAACACAAAAGAAATTCTGGCAGTGATACAAGAGATTGCAAACAAAACTAAATAATTATTATGAAAGGAAACAGGTTGAATTACTAAAGTCTCTGGAACCAAACTTACAGTAACGCTAAATAAACATAGGCAGTGTAAAACAGATGGCAAATAAAGTACTAGAATTTGGAATGAGGCAGAAAACCACAACTTCTAAAACTCAGAGCTGTCAATATCAAATAGAAAACTTTGATGAAGTATACAGAATCCTTGACCAAACTTACCATATATCCTAAGTTTCAGATAGTGGAAATTACAAAGAAAGATAGGACATTATCTCTTTTTTAAAAATA